TCTACAGTTAACCCGTTGAAGTCCCTACTAGATGATGCTTGACTGCTTGATCCCTCTGCACGTTAAAGCAATTGTAAGCTATAACTATAAAAATACAATTGATTTAACGAGAAATTCAGAAGAATAGAACTCATCCAACAGATTATAAAAAACTGCTCGAATTTAAAAAGCATTGGGTCTTCCGGTGAAGACTGAATGGCTCCACCCATTATACATGGAAGTTCCAAATACAAACACATCTCTCCAATACTATAATTAAAATCAGAGACGTCGGCAAAAACAAGAGAGTTGAATTAAAATATATGACTTGAAATTGTAGAAGTAACAAGACGGCAGAACCTTCGGAATCAAAACTGCACAATGTGAAACTCTTTGCACCATGCAATCATTGTTGATTGGTAACCATTTCAAACCACAATGAGACCGTAAATTTATGCAATTGGCCATCAATTTCACATATAAGAGAAAACTTGAACCCTTTAACAAGCAACAAAGGTGATACAATTCAAAGATGGGACTTTACAACTTAACAAAATTATGAAACTTAAAAATTAAAGTTAAGCGTAGGAGATAGATGTCAAGGGACCACCACACTAAAACCCTTACAAACTATCACGAACAAAACGTTCTAGTTATTCAAAACTGAGAACCCAATTCATCCAACACAATTCTTTCAGTCAAAACACTTGATGATGACTTATGGCTGACTGATAGCAAATGCAATATAAAAGCTATAGAGCCTTACCTTGTCGAGAACTAGTTTGACTAATGGCTTTCTTAGCTGAAGGCTTGCTATCCAAAACTCTTTCAGCAGGCCTAAATGATAAACGAAAACAGGTAAACGAAACTGCACACAATCTTTTTTTCAGGTCAAATAGAGACTGAATACAATGATAAATATATACGAGCACCCAAAAACGCTGCACCAAGGGATGCCCATAAAGTAAAACCTCAAAATAGTTAGTTCATTCAAACACAAACATGTGGATCTTATAAATAAAATTCATGTCGTACCTCTTTTTAGAACCTTCAGCTGCACTGGCGCCTTTCACATCCTTTGAACTGGAATCTCCCTTCTGTTTCTTAAGTGTAAGTGACCTAATCAATATGTTCTGTTGGTTTGTCTGTATCAGTTGACCATCTGGATAAACAAGATCAAGCTGTAAAGTCAGAAGTGGAATAAAATGAATGGGATACAAAAATAACAAATTCTACAAAACATTAGCGTGAGCAAAATAAAAGTACTTTAGAAACTTAAAAGCACATGTAAACCTGGGGGTGAGGTGTCACGGGTACATACATAAACTCGCACCCCGCCCTGTAAAAGTTCTGCATCACGTAAGCAAAATCGAGAGAAGGGTAGGTGGCGGAAGAACCAGATAGGAAGCAGACAAGATAATTGGTCCAAGTAGTTCTTTACATTAATTTCTAAAAGCACTTTCCTTCTAACCGGCCAAATGAGTGAAACACACAAAGAAATGCATCACAGAAAATTGATTTCGTAAGCTTGATCTAACTGACTTCTCATATTAGAAAACAAAACCTACATACAGAAAATTATGATTACCTCTATAATTTTCAATTTTTTTAGACTTTATACTGTTTCCAGCATTTGATCAATAAAGTATTGATTCAAATAACTTGGTACATTGTTGTTCTCCGATGAAGCATTCTAGGCCACTAACTCCATTCTATGAACACAGCAACATATTTTAATGCAATTGAGAAAAAAAAAAGAGAGCATTCACATGTATATTTGGTAATAGATAAATGCTCCAAGTTCGTAAACATACGATTAGCAATTCAGTACTTTCAAAATGCATACAAGCTATATATATATGTGTGTGTGTGTGTGTGTGTGTGTGTGTGTGTGTCTATATAACACGCAAAACATCTGTATAAATAAATAGAAAATCGTCCACAGGTAAAATCAATAGTCATAAGCTCAATCAAAACAAAACCCAATACCTTTTACTTCCTAAGATACAGAATTACACCAAGATTATTCACAATCGACTACATACAAACGCAAATTATACAATTCAGTCTGAACCCAAATCAACCTTAAAAAAATTCAAAAAAGAAAAAAGAAAAAGTCGAGGTCTTTACTCTGAATTTACTTCCTAACTGTAAAACCCTAAAACCCAAATGCTTGTTTTAGTCACAGATTAATTGGAACCGTGTAAGATGAAAAACAGATTATTTTTTCAATATTATATCGGCAACCCAAAAGTAAAGAAGAGAAATTGATAACCGGATTGGAGAAGAGGACGGTGGAGGAGAAGAGGCCGCGGGAGGGGAGGTTCTGGAGGAGCATGGAAGGGCCGGAAGTCGTTTGATTCGAATCGGACGGCGGCTGAGAAGGAGAGGCCTCCATGGTGGCGCGTGAACAACCCCTTGGGCAAAAAAGTACTCACCCACACAAAAGGTAAATAGCGGGAGACGGAGAGTCTAGTTTGATTTGATGCCACCACTCTTCCCGTTTCGCTATATATGGGGGTGGGACCCCCTGGGTCCCACTGATACTGTAATAATAATTTGGCGGTAATTCTCGGTTTTTTTTTGGAGGAAATTGAGGTATTTTAAATTTCCATATCTGAAAATAAAAATAAAAAACTGAAATGACTTCCGGAGACTATTTTCCTTTTTGTGCTGTTTCTTTATGTTTATCTATACTTCTATACTATTAAGAGAAGAGTGGTGTTATGCCTACACAAAAACCACGAGCCAGAGTCATTCCCAAACCAAATTGACTTCTGACTGCAACGATTCTCTTTTTTCTGCAACCCAAATCATTTTTCTTTCTCTATCTCAATCAAACTCAATTCAACTAAAATCATCGTTATCAGTCTATGAACAATTACAATTCCATCGAGGATGTCGTTGCTAGTTAATGTTTTCTCCTCCAAATTTCCATAGAGAGAAAAGGTCGACTGGCAGTTAAGGAGGTTGTCGTTGAGTTGGGTATGGTGGTGTCAGGCTCGGGTGGATGGGTGGCTTTCATATTCTCAGTTTTTATTTATTTTAATTTTTAGTGAAAACTTAAATTAATGCAAGGGCATTTTAGGAATATTAGTGGGTGAGAAAATAGTGTTTTTATTTTTTAATTTTTTTATGCAGGGTGAAAATATAAGGTGGGTGAAGAAATAGGATTGTGGGGTGGGTCTACTTTCTTAAGAGAATCCTCCTTGTCAACTTTTTTCCTATTTTACCCTCCTTTTTAATAAACACTATTGACAAAAAGGAGGGTAAAATAGTAATTGTGTACCTTTTGACAAAATGACAATCATATCCCTATTTTTCCTATTTGACCTTTTTTTTTTTTTTTTTTTTTTTTTTTGAGAAAATGACAATCATATACTTATTTTTGTAATTTTACCCTCACTTTTGATACACAATATTTACGTAAGGATGACAAAACAGTAATTATGTAATATTAAAAAAAAATATGTACTTATTAAGAGAAATTGTTTACACACACACAATGTGTGCTCTCTGCTAGTTAAATTCAAAATAAGGTTTTTATTCCAAATGGTTTTTGAAATTGACCCATACTATTAAGAGAACCCTCCTTGTCAACTTTTTTTTCTCATTTTTTCCTATTTTGCCCTCACTTTTGATAGACACTATTGACAAAAGGAGGGCAAAATAGTAATTTTGTATCTTTGACAAAATGACAATCATATCCCTATTTTTCCTATTTGACCCTTTTTTTTTTTTTTTTGAGAAAATGACAATCACATACTTATTTTTCTATTTTTACCCTCATTTGTTATACAAAATATTTACATAAGGATGACAAAACAGTAATTATGTTATATTAAAAAAAATATGTACGTATTAAGAGAAATTATTCACCCACACAGTGTGTGCCAATATGCTAGTTAAATTTAAAATAAGGCTTTTATTCCAAATGGTTTTTGAAATTGACCCACATCATCAAAATGATTCTTGAAATTGAATCATTTTTTACTATGACCCAAGAATACTTTTAAATTTTGGACTACTTTCATCGGGTGTTGTGCACGTTGATTGATTTATTTAAAGTTTAAATTTAGTCTCACTTTTACACATAAAACCATATTTTATGGTTTTGTCACCCTTCAGGTGTTGGCCAGCACATCACATTCTGATAGACACATTGACATTTTGAGCCAAGATGTGTTAGTTGATATCGATCACTATCATCTCTAAAAATGAATGATGCAAATCAATGTTGTTCTTCAGTTTGAATTTTGTTAAAAAAGTCTATTTATATGCTGACGTGACACATTTTAATCCCCTACTGCAAAATTATGATGGTGGATTAGAGAAAGTTTACTTGAAATGCCAGTGGCTTTGTATCATGAGACTAATGGAATGGGTTGGACTCAAGGCTAGTATTGTCCAATCCAAAATAACCAAACCGCTATAGTTTTAGTCTTTTCGAAGCCCACAATCGGACACGACAATATTGGGCCTGGTATAATGTACTCCGACCCGGCCCATACAAATTGCCCCGCCGCCTCGCTCGCCCACTGTTTCGCTAGTAACCGTCAACGGTCAACGGTCAACGGTCAACGACCGAACCTCATGTAACACTGAGCAAAGCTAAAAGCCAATCTCGTAAACTACAACCACGTGTCGGTCTCACTTCCACGTCACCGGTTCATCCTCGAACTCAGGGTGCGTAAACCGCGCTCGAGCGCACGGTAGAGACGCCCACCAGTATGGCCAGCATTGAAAACCGGATAAGAACTTGTGCTTAAAGTAATCTCAGCGAATCGGACGTATACAGCACGTAATGATTGAACCGACGCTTTCATCACGAACAATGCACCTTCGTCATCGCAACCGTCCACGCGTCCGAACCAGTAACGTTGACAAGGAAGATGATTATCCAACGGCCTGGATTGTTCATTGCGGAAAGAGGAGTGACGTGTGTTTTGGTTTTGGTTTTTGTAGTTAAATGATGTCGGAGTGGGCGATCCTATGTCTGTCCGATTCTGAGTAACACAGTTTCCAAAGAGAGAGAGTTGGAATTTTGGGTGTGTTGAGAGGAAGGATGGGTGTGCCGGCGGTGATGACGACGGGGGAGGGAGGGAGTCCGAGGAGTCCAGAGGCGAAGCTGGGGATGCAGGTAGAGGATTTGTGGGACGTTCAGGAGCCTCAGCTGAGTCCAACTGAGAAGCTCAATGCTTGCTTTGAGGGTGTCCCTGTTTCTGCTTTCCCTCCTGCTCCTGAAAATCAAGGTACCAGTTTTACATCCATCCATCCATCCACACATACATGCATGTAACATAAATATAATATATATATATGTATGTATGTATGTATGTATGTATGTATGTATGCATGCTTATACAGGTAACAGATGTAATAACATGATCATGTTAGAAATTTTAGTAGGTGCATATGTTGTGATGGTCAAATGATTAGTTGATTAGAAATTCAGGAAAATACTTGGCTCATTACATGTCGTTTCTCGTTGCAAACAAATCACCAAATTGTAGTTTGTGGAGATCGAATTTTTCTTTTGAGATTTAGCGAGATATTTTTGTATACGTATCAGACTGTGATTTGTTGCAAGTAAGGAGGTACGGAGCCAATCAGATCAATGTTTTTAGGAGAATTAAACAAAAATTAAGAGATAAAAAGGAGGGATCAGTTTTGTTGGAATTTGATAAATTGAGGAGGTGTTGAAAAAAAGGTGGAAGATTGAATTTGGGATTGAAAATTTGCTTTTTATAATCATTTGATGTTTGTCTTTAATCTGGATTAATGTTTTGGAAAATTTGTTGTGATTCAGTGATTGAGATAAAGTCAGACACCAGTTTAGCAGAAGCTGTTAAAATCCTGTCCCAACACAAAATCCTTAGTGCACCGGTGGTGGATGTCGATGCGCCTGAGGACGCTAGCTGGATCGACAGATACATCGGTATTGTCGAGTTTGCCGGAATTGTCGTGTGGATCCTGCATCAGGTTAGCAAGTTAACAAACCTTATGCATTGAAAACGTTAACTATGTTGTTTATAAATGCGTTGTCTTAGTGTTCCTCCTTGCCAGCAAATCATAAAAAGAAAAGTTATGCATACATGTCAAATTGTGATTTGTCTGGAAGGAGGAACGACTCCTTCAATGTTAAGGAGCCGAAGTATTTTACCTTTTAGCTATATACTTGGGAACTACTCGCTATATCGTATCAATGTGGAGGAACTGAAAACATGATAATTGTGTTAATCTTGGCAGTCAGAACCACCGTCCCCAAGGACCCCGACTAGTCCATCTAGTGCAACTGCTATTGCAGCAGCAGCTAATGGACTGAAGGGTCTTGATCTTGCAGGACTTGATTTCGGCTCTGAGTTTGCCGCAGCAACTTCAGGAAGTTTTTTCGAGGCTTTGACTTCTTCCGAGTTTTACAAGAACACACAGGTCATTCAATACTGTTGACATCTTCAATAACATAAGCATTATTCATTCCCATGATATATGGATTAACATTTTAGCATACAGGTTCGAGATATCTCGGGGTCATTCCGTTGGGCTCCGTTTCTTGCTTTGCAGAGCTCCAACTCGTTTTTGACCATGCTCTTGCTTCTTTCAAAGTACAAAATGAAGAGTGTTCCTGTCGTCGATTTGGGTGATGGAAAGATTGATAATATCATCACACAATCTGCTGTGATTCACATGTTAGCGGAATGCGCTGGACTTCAGTGGTTCGAGAGCTGGGGAACCAAGAAACTATCCGAGCTTGGTCTTCCCATGATGACTGCTAATCGCATTGTCAAGGTGAAATCTCTTCTCATTTCCCATATAAAATTATCTTTTGATGAACTGGGAGATTTTTCTCATGCATAGTTACCCTTAACGCTTAACTTTGAATGCGTAATATTCTGTTGCAGGTGTACGAGGATGAACCAGTGCTGCAAGCGTTTAAGTTGATGAGGAAAAAGAGGGTTGGAGGGGTACCTGTGATTGAAACCGGCAGTAGCAAGGCAGTAGGTAATATAAGCCTAAGAGATGTCCAGTTCTTGCTTACTGCACCAGAAATTTACCATGATTACAGGTTCGTAGCGAAAAGTGTTCAACATTTTCCTGAGAATTTTTAGTTGCAATGTAAATCTGGATCACCTTTTTGACATGTCTCAACAGATCCATCACGGCGAAGAACTTCCTGACAGCAGGTTGAAAGCAAGCATCATGAAGTCTACCCAACGTTGAGTACCATGGTTACGTGCAAAAGGGATGACACAGTTAAGGATTTAATCTTGATGCTGGACTCCAAAAAGATCCACAGGGTATATGTTGTGGACGATGATGGGAATCTGGAAGGAGTCATTACCCTTAGGGACATCATCTCAAGGCTAGTTCACGAACCCCGTGGCTACTTTGGTGACTTTTTTGACGGTGTTCTACCGCTGCCCCAAAACAGCAGGGTTTGAGAGAGGCATCAAGAGCAACATTCCGATCTTCCCCCAAACCGAAATGAGCATGTTCCTATTTCGTTTTCTTTTTTTCTTTTTTTCCTTTCCCCCTTGTATGTAATGATCTCTGTCTTAGTCCTATGGTGGTTTTGCTGGTTGTGTTTTCGTTGTAGGCAAGTCTTTTGTAACTAGTGTTCTTCAGTTTGACAGAGCTTTTAACTTTCTGTAAATTTGTTGTATCCATGAGCTCCATGGGAGCTTTTTTGCAGTAATAATCTAATAATCAAAACTCTCTCTTTCTATCTACTTGTCTGCTCTATGAGTCTTGGCATTTACAAGCGATATTGAGAAAGCGAGGAGACGAACTTTGGATCTCGGTATAAGGGGTAGATCTCTTGACGACTTGAGTTACAAGCCACTTTACGGAGATTAGTAAAGTTTTAACCTCTATTGGTAATGGGAATATCTTCATTGGGATGTTTAGAAGGTTTTGGGGGTTGAGACTTTGGTATCCACAACTACTCTCCTCCCAAGCAAGAAGCCAACTTCTCTTGTATTACCTAGATTAAGCTTTTTAGACAAGTTTCCTCATTTCAAGCAAGAAGTGAACACTTCTATGCGTTGCATCTCATACATGATAGCTTTCTACCATGACATATAATCATCTATCCATCGGACAGATGACTTTTCTAGATCTTATTGTTTAGAACCCAAGGAGCAGGTAATCTAGACCGTTCAAATTGAATCCAACAGTCCTAATTAACTCACTCCGCTAACTCACCTCACAAACCAAGGGCCCATATCTCTTTTTCTCTCTTGAACGGTCGGGAGTCCATGATATTTAGGCTCCAAACTGTGAGGTCTAGAGAGGATCCAAATACCTATCTATCTCCCTCCTAATGTAATTTTGAGTTAGATAAATGAGGGCTTGGATTTCCAAATTCATAACTTTAGAAAGACCAACTAGTTGATTTTCCAAACATTTGTTGTTGGAAAAGGCTAGAATCAGTTGCCCACGCATTCACAAACTAATCATGATATTCTTGTTTGAAGACCAAGTTGGATGGTTTCATGAAACATTAGCTATTGAAAAATGTTAAAATCAATTGCATACACATGTGTGAACTAATCTTAACAATTCTTACTCGTATTCGACTGATCTTAACACTCTTCATATTAAAGGCAAGAGGTGGCTAATTATTAAGGGCAAAATTAAACCTCCTTGAGGTCCCATCAACTTAATCTTTGTGGCCACATAAACACAAAAAAACACCAAGGCTTTTAAGTTATGATATTTACATATAAAGGTTATACATGTATATTACTATAAACCTATAATAGCCAATTTACAGTTGCAGACAAGGCCCGTTTATGGTTTGCGCACTTGGAGCATAGCAATTGGGGTTTGCGCACTTGGAGCATAGCGATTCGGGCTCTCTCTCTCTCTCTCATCATCATCATCATCATCATCCACCAAATAGTTGAAATTTGAGTGGATGACTATGAAACATTATGTTATGTCCCACCTTTGTCTTTTTCATATTTATTTTTGGTATTTTATCTAAAATGGTCTATAAGATTTGGTTAACTCTTCACTTTTAATCCTTGACATTCAAAATCGATAATAGTCTCTGAGTTTGTCCATCGTGAATTATTTTGGCCATGCCATTAAAAATTGTCAATATCATCGCTAAATGAAGAGATTTGTTCGACAAAAAAACCCTAAAAAAGGTGATCACGTGATCGTTCACGTGACAATTTAACGAGGATAAATTTATTCTAGAATGACCAAAATGATTTACGGTGGACAAACTCATGGAGCATTTCCTTATATTTTCATTCTTAAGGACCAAAGTGAAGTTATGTCAAACTCATGGACCATGTTGACTTAAAAAGGTTTTTTTATATTTTTATATATATTTTTTATATTTTATATTTTTAATTCAATAAGCATTTGTAAAGCTCCGCATGCATAAATTTATTTTACACTATCAATCTAAGTCCGGATAAAGGAGGAGGGGGAGGGCATCAAGTAATCGACAACCTACAAGCTAACGAAAAATTTGGCACAAAAATAAACGCAATAGCGTCCAAAGATTCATACAACCAACCCTACATTGTGAGATAAAGCTTTATTATAGTTGTTGCGTTGTTTGTCAATAAGCATTTGTAGGTTCATCATTAATTAATTAAAAATAATATATTTAGTCTAATTAATTAGTTAAAAGAGTTCAAAGGAGGGCGAAGACTACAAGAAACTATTTCTAATTAATTAATTTAATTTTCAACTCCCTTCCCTTTCCTACCCGATGCAGCAATGCCCTGCAGAAGCCAAACAGAGCGTTCCAAAACCAGCAATGTTCCCAACTTTGGGAACTTAATGCTACACGAAACCACCAAGTTGCATCTAAACACTAATTGCAAAAATTTGCCACATGCAGAAAACCGAACCGAGTCGAGAAAGACCTCGGTTCGGTTCAGAATGTGGCGGAACTCGTCTTTGAGCCGAGTCATCGCAATCCCGTCCCCGTCTACAAGTTCGTCATCTGAACAACCTTCAACTTTACCCTCTGGAAACTTCAAACAACTTATGTTGCTCATAAATAGGTCCTAATTCTAGCCAGACATCTTCATGATCTTCCCTATTTATAGCCGAAAAGTTCAAGATCGGAAATGCACGAATGAATCTAGCGATGACAAATTCATAACATCGCTTTTACACAATTCCGAAAACTCAATAAAAGAAGAGAAGAATTGTAGCAACCCAGCTAGAGAGATTCACTGCATATTCAATAGACATAAAATTTACATCTCCATTCTTCAAATTAATAGCTCAACTTTCACTCTATGTTCAAATGAAAAAACAAAATCGAAACTTAATTTCTGAATCTTTGTGTATATCGAATTCACTATTTTACACGAATGGTTTTAGTTCTTCTTCCGCACGCAGATAACATACAAGACTCAATGGCAATTCATGGAAATCAAACACATGAACCACGAAAAAATAAATCCACAGCAAACGTAAAGCTAAATTCTATAGAACCTGTACAAAAGTTATTACAGTAGATTGATAGACGGGTTGGAAAATAGCTTTCACAAAATCCTGTGTTTATAACATTAACACCTTAATATTAAACAGATATCATCATCATAATCAAGCTACTATTTTTTTTTTCATTTTCGACAATAGAACTTCGATTCCCAACTTCTGACTAGGCCATGAGAAAATCAAAGGGCATACCTGTATTCCTATGTACTTTTTCTTCTCAGATGGTGCAGAACACACGGTGTCCCTTCAAACAAATCCAACACGTAGCTCTCCAAATCATCTGCTGTGTATTTTATATACTTCCCGGCATGCCTTCCACTCTCCAGCTGACTCCCAAACCTCCCCATAAACGATCTGTAAGCTGGGATCACCTTCTCCGATATAGATATCCGAAGCTCCTCCCGAAGTTGAGCATCCGGGACCTTCCAAGCTGTCTGGGTCCGATAGATTTCTTCAAAGTGTGCATTGAAGTTCTTAAACCTTTCCTTCAAAGCCATCCTCGAAGCATTACTCGTGCTCCCGCCAATCCCCTCATCTTTCAAACAAGAGAGGGCCTTGCTCCAAGCAGCTCTTAGATACCCAGTAGCATACTGGCGTACCTGACCACGACGCTTGCGAACCCATTGGTCTCCCAAGAGCTTTCTAATCTCAGAATCCTTCACTTTCTGCACTATAGTACTGAATGTTATTCATCAAAAACACACTGTGCATTGCTCCATCATCATAAACCCTAGACTTCTCCTCGAGATTGGCTTCCAAATTTGAAATCAACAACAACAACCTACGGCCTATAGGAGACATGCTGTCTATACCCAAATCATCATTTGGCAATCCTTGCAACCTTTGCAACTCTTCCTCACCGGTATCCAAAAGCAAATTGAGGGTATCACTATAATCAACCAACAATCTAACATAGTTCATGACATACCGAGTAAGCGGGTGAATCTCGCCGCTCAGCATTGGTTTCTTACTGGCCTCAGTCTGAACTGCATTTTCAAACTCAGCAAACGTCCCTCTCGCCGCATCACCGAGCGCATCCAACACTCCCCTCGCCTCACCAACCACATATGCATCAGTCATCATTTGCTGCAAGTCCGGCAACACATCTGCCACGGCATCATACATGTCAAGTATCCGAAACAGCTTCTCGGGCGACCTTCGACCAATGGCGACCGCCTCTCCGAAATTCAACAGCTGCATAATACACCCTTTGGAAGTGTCATTGAAGCAACACTCCCTAGTCTCATCAATCCCTTCAAAAATCTGATCAGAGAGCCTCCTTTCGCCGTTTATCAAAACCCTAACGCCGATTTTCACAGCTTGTATCCACTTCTTCATCTTCTCATCCAAACTCTTCCACTCAATCTTCTGCACCTCCTCAATGCTCAGCTTCTCGACACCGAGAATCACCAAACACTCGTCCAAAGCGTCGCGCCTGACGCTGCTATACACCTGCACACACTCCTTTTCGTAGCCGGACCGAATCATACGCTCGGCGATCTCCTTCAGCTCCACGACGGCGTCAGGATGTATCAAATCGACGTCCGTATCGCCGAGGCTGCCGCCGCGCTCGTGGAACCTGCCGGCGTCGCGGTCCTCCTCGCCAAAACTCTCGAATTCATCGTCGATTTCGCCGTCGTTTGACGCGAACGACAGAGACACTCTCCGGATCGAGCCAGTAGAGTCGATCGGAGTCGAGAGGCACCGTGTTCCTGATCAGAATGTGGCGGAACTCGTCCTCCAGCCGAGTCATCGCGATTTGGAGCGCGTTCTCGACCCGGTCCACCAATTCGTTATCGGACCGGACCGAAAGCCCCTCCATGTGCGTGAGGATCTCATCGACGGCCGCCAAATACTCGGCGGCCTCGACCGGCGACTCCTCCCACGGGACCGAGTTTCTGTGAGCTTCGGAATTGGACTCCCACCGGAAAATCACCTTCTCGGCTTCCCCGAACCGGTCCTCGTCGGCCTTGGAATCCTCGCCGTTGATCAAATTGGTGATGTTAGATAATCTATTGTCGAAGCTCGAGAAGATCAGGAGCATGTCCTCGCGGACCTCCTTGGGGGTGTTGAGGCTCTTGACGATCTGCTGGGCCGTGGCGAGGACCCGGTCCTCTCCGCCACCGCCTACGCTGGTGGTGGTGGTGGTCATTTGGGAGATGTTTGGCTGCTAGGGTAAACTGGTATTCGGTTGCGGGGATAACAAAGGACGGATGGAGTTAGGATTTGGATTTGAGGAAGCTGGGATTAGAGG